GGCTAAAATTGATGCTTATACTAGTGTTATCCATTTATTATTTTATACGATTATAGTATTTCTTAATATTTCAAATGGCTTTTATTTTTTATATTTTCTGTTTATTTAAGTAATTTTAAGTGTTTTTTTCTCATTTTATAGTTTTAATATACTTTAATTTATATTGTTTCGGTTTTAGAAATGTTAGTACTTCAAGTTATATTTAGTTGCAGTTCGTTGCAAAGGCAACATTTATCATTTTTTATAAAATGTAAGTTTTGCCATCTAATATTTATTTCAATTGCCAAACACAATGTTTAATAGTTTCAGGTAACAATAACAATACTGGCTAATACAAATAATAATACTACGTATAGTTATGATGGCAAAATAAAAGGAGAAAACACTCCTCTTGTGTTTTTAAGGACCAATTAAACTATGATATACAGTAATAGAAGTTAAATTAGGGACAGACCGGTTGAGTGACATGCATTTAAGCAAGACTACATTAATTACAGCTTCAGTTGCACTGACCTCATATGCTTTGTGTTAAAATATTGCCAACATTCATGGAGTTTTTCAGATTTAATTTAGATTTTTGTTGTATTAATATTATTAATACATGTACATTATTTGATTTTAGGGATATTGTTTACTTACAATTAACAGTTTTGGTACTGGATTGCTATTTACACTCTTAAAAATAAAGGTGCTTCACGATGCCATAGAAGAACCTTTTTGTCTAAATGGTTCCATAAAGAACCTTTAACATCTGAAGAACCTTTCTGTTTCACAAAAGCTTCTTTGTGGTGAAAGAAGGTTCTTCAGATTATAAAAAGGTAATAAAGAGATGGTTCTTTAAAGAACCTTTGACTGAATGGTTCTTTGTGGAACCAAAAATGGTTCTTCTATGGCATCGCTTGAAGCACCTTTATTTTTAAGAGTGTAGTATCCAATTTAAAACCAGAGTCAGTAAGTACAACCAGTTGAGAACTGCTGATCTACATGATGTTGCACAGTCATGCATTTGGATGATAAACGGGACAAATGCAACATTTTTTAAATGACCTTTAATTTGTTAAACTTCTACATAAAAACTGCTTGACAGACATACAATTTTGACTTTTACAATATGAATGATTTGATAACTGAAATAAAACTCAACTCAATGTCTACTATACTGGTTAGCATTTGCAAAAAGTCACAAGCCTTTCACACTTGATTTGGCAGTTTTATGTTTATGAGGTCTTCAAAGGAAGGGATCCAGCAAATTCAAAAGCACAATATACAGAAAAACAGACATTTCGGCTCTGCAGTAGTGTTTCTTCATGAATGGTTATGACTGTATTTGTCATGTTCAGAACCTATTATTGAAGAGCAGCTCAAACCTATCCTGAATGAGGTAAATACTTGTGTTTAACATCGAAAATGAAATCAGAATGATATTGACAGGGTCCAAAATTAACAAACGACAGACTTTACCAGCCATAAATATTTCTTATGCACTAACAAACTCAATTTTGTGATATGTTTTATTCAAAATACATGACAGTTGAATTATTTAAGCAGTTTTTTACCCATTTTATATTGGCAGAAAGTGCAGGTAAAAATTACAAACACCAGTTGTGATGTGTTTTTTTTACACAGTATTTTGGTGCAAGAAATATAAAACATATAGTTCCAGAAGAAAATAAAAATCTTAGTAGTATTACATATTCAAGCATTTTGTCTTTGAATCACAAATAAATCACTTAAAACCAGCACGTTTTATAGACTTAACCCATTTATTGCCACATTTCTTAATAGTTGCAAGCCAACTGCCAAGTAACATTTTATTTTGCTCACCAAAGCCAGTTTTTTTTTACGTGTACGTAGCACTTGGTGATTGTTAATCTTGGACCCTGGATTGCAATCATTCAGAGAGATTCAACAAAAGAATCTAAAACGGTGTAAACTATTGAAAAGAATAACTTAGGGGGGGATGTGTAGACACAAGACCATGCATATATTTTCCAAAAGAAATAAAACACTCAAGAAGATAAAAGTATTTTATAAAAAAAAAAGAAACAGGCACAAACACAATTTAAAAAGCTTAAGTTCAACCGTCAGAAACCCGAAGGCTTGAACTTTATGGAGAATTGGACCCCCTAAGACTGGCACACACACAGAGACAGGGCAAGCATGCATGCGTCGAAACACAGCACTAGCTGAGGACCACCATCAACATCTACTGGACTGCACCACTACAGCTACACCATACACAGCCACATCCACCGCGCTGAGAGAGAATGAAGCGCTGTTCAGATACTTTACTAAATGCCAGTTAAGTCACATTTATTAATAGAGGACGTCTGGGATTTCATCAACTGATTCTGATGGAGTCCAATTCTATGATTATGCAAGAGTTGGTTGCAGTCCTCTAATCTGATTGGCTGAGTGACATTCCATAGAGTATAACAGCAGTGAGAGTTTTTCATGTTTTGTCAGTTTGCAGGGTTCCAGCAGGGCCACAACCGTCATACACGTTGAGAGTGAAACGTTTTCTAGAAACGGCCGATATATGATATTGACGCTGCTGCTCTGTTTGTTGTTAGTAGGACAAAAGTTGTAAAATGTTAATGTTTAGGCTGGTCCACCTCAGAGGTATAACAGCGCTCGTCAAAGTCAAAATGATTGAGCTGGCCACTTAAATCAAAGAAGGTGGGCTTTAATGTTCACAGTATAGCTGTACATAAATACCAGCACAATGCTTCAGTTTTAACTGTAAGGAATATGTAGCTAAATATTTGATATTTCACAACTGTTTCGCGATAGAAATGCAAAATGTCCAACAGTAATATCCTGTGATGCAGACGACTTGAAATTTCCCCATTTTGAATCGAAAATATAAGATGAATCAGTTACGTGATTTATGTCATTCATAGCTGAATGTGACGAAACAAGAAATGTTTTGCATTATCAACATTATGCACACATTTATTCTTATTCGTATTTTAAAATACAAATATTAGTTAAAAATAATTACACAAAAAAAAACTGTGAATGACTTTTTCCCTTTAAAATCAATTTTAATTCTATACGTAATTCCTTTAAATAAAAAGAACATTACAAAAATACAACACCACCGAAAATAAATAAATCATGTGTCCTGCCCAATGTTCAAGGTTCAAGGTTACAGCCTTGCGTTTTAGACCAGAGTACACCATAAAAAAAACTAAATTGAAAAAAAAATCATTTGTATTTTTTTTTGGGGAATTTTGTTTTAAATTGTAAAACTGAAACCAAAATTATTGGAGTACATTTTACAAGAAAGTGCGATGTTAGTCTTTCTATTTCAAAATATCACATCAAATTCAACGTTTTACTTGCCATTTCTTCGTAATTATTTGTGAAATTCAAACAGTTAAAGTAAAAGTAAATCCTACACCCTTGTTTTTTAAGTGTATGCGAGTGCCTCTTTTTCAAGTTGGAGCATTTGTAATATTTCTTGCTCTACAATAAGTATCAACTATTAACTAAGTAATCAACTAACTTGAATCAACTATTTACCTAGTAATTTGGCAAAAAGTTTAAATTCATAACAAAGGTCTACCAGGAGGCGCACAATGAGACATTGTCTGACGAGCATATTTGTGAAACAATAATATACTGTAAATCACAGATAATCTTATCCAGATTAGGTTAGATTTACTAAATTAGCTGAAAAACATTGGTAGTTTGCTCTGAAATGTTTTACTGTGGTTGTATTGAAAAAAAAACTCCATGTGTGATTAAATTAAACTGTGAAACATTCATTTACTTGACCAACTCCGGTAAACCCAGCCTGTCAAAACAGGGCAGATACAGAAAAACAGGTCAAGAAAAAAAGACAAAGAGGAGAAAGAGAAAATATGGCTGAGAGAGAGTTTGAGACAGCGACAGTGAGAGAAACAGAAGAGGAGGGGAGAGGAAGAAGGGAGCAGCTGTGGAGTGTGTGCACACAAGTGTGAATGAGTGAGTGAGGTGACACTTCTTTCTTCTCTGGGAGGACCAGAAAAGATGCTTACCGCTTCACCTGCCATAGAGAACTATTCATCTACAACAGCACCTCACACAAAATGTAGCGGATGATTATGCATTCATCATCATATCAATAATAATAGCTAGATTTGCATTTCTTGATGGAAATATCAGTGCTTGCAAGGCAGCAAAAGTGTTAAGGGAAAATTATAGCTTGAAAAGAAATAATTCAGTATGCAAATATTACAATGACATTCTAAATGGGGGGGAAGTCGTGGCCTAAAGGTTAGAGAGTCGGCTTCATAACCCAAAGGTTGTGGGTTCGAGTCTCGTACCGGCAGGGATTGTAGGTGGGGGGAGTGAATGTACAGCACTCTCTCCCACCTTCAATACCACGACTGAGGTGCCCTTGAGCAAGGCACCGAACCCCCAACTGCTCCCCGGGCGCCGCAGCATAAATGGCTGCCCACTGCTCCGGGTGTGTGTTCACGGTTTGTGTGTGTTCACTGCTGTGTGTGTGTGCCCTTTGGATGGGATAAATGCAGAGCACTAATTCCGAGTATGGGTCACCATACTTGGCCACATGTCACTTCACTTTCTTTTTTTATTTTTTTTATTTTAAAAAGCATTCTATCGTAAGTCAGTTTAAAGACCTCTTAAGTTTGGGGTTTGTAAGATTTGTATTGATTTTGAAAAAAGCCTTGTATGCTCTCCAAGGCTGCATAATTTGATAAAAAAAAACATATCGGGAAATATTATTACAATTTAAAATAACAGGTTTTTTTTATTTTGTATAAAATGTCATTTATTAATTTGATGGCAAAAGCTGAATTTTCATTACTCCAGTCTTCAGTGTCTCACGATCCTTCAGAAATCATCTTAATATACTGATTTGCTGCTTAAGAAATTTTATTAATGTTGAAAAAAAAAATTTTTTTGCAGCTTAAATTTTTTTTTTTTTTTTTTGGTGGAAACCATGGTACTTTTTTTTTTCAGGATTCCTAAACGTCAAAAGAACAACATTTATTATTTTGTCTTTACTGTCACTTTTGATCAATTTAAAGCATTGCTTTTAATGCTCGCTGAGTAAAGTATTATTTTTATTTATTCAATCTTACTGACCCCAAACTTTTGAAAAGTAGTGTACCAAAGGGCATATGTCCATCCCTGACTTAAACAGGAAATACATCATCATAGGAATGAAAACTGCATTCATCAATCAATTTCAAGATGTCTTTATACTTTTTGAAAAAAGCTTAATCTTACATTTCTATGAACTAATCTATGAACCTCAGAAAATTGGACAGAAGAAGAAAAAGGCAGGATTTAAATGCACTGCCGCCTTGCAAACACTGTAAAAACAACACTAGTCTATAATGTATAAAATGAGTCCCCCACATTTTTATAGTTTTCACATAACTGAACATTCTGCACTGACAAATATTCATTAAGCCTAATGTCTTGATGAGAAACTCCTCTTGGCTCTGAAGCAAATAACAAGACATGTACACGGCACTTACTCTGTGCCTCAGCAAACAAACCTAAAGGCTCGGCTCTGACAGCAAGCAGCTACGGCACAAGGCTAAATACTCTAGGTCCATACGAGAAGCAAGCTTTTGCAAATAATCAGCACGCTAGTCATGAAAAAGATCAGTTTGCGTTCTTATGGCAGACGAGAGGGTTCAGTGAAAGTGGTTGCGTTAAAAATGGAATATCCTTTCAGTTAGTCCCCCATTTGCCAGCTCTCTGACTACAGTTACAAGAGGAGGACGTTTCACGCAAGGACGCTTGCCCTGCCACTCCTGTGCCAGCCAAACACTTTTAGGGATCTGCAAAGAAAGGAACAGAAACAAAAAGCAAAAAAGAAACAAATAAAAAAAAGAAATCACACAAGACATGTTAGAGATGTTGCACAAGAACTCCTGTACAATCGTTGATTCACAGACAGCAATGGGTTAAAAACGTTCAGGAAACCTCGGAAGCTCAACTTCAGAGTGCAGCCTCACTATGAAGTGTGAATTAAAGACAGGGACCGTATAAAACCATACAAAATTATTTATATAGTTAGCTTGCGACACTATCAAGCATATTTAACAGCTGCTGATAAAGCTATGGACAAATGATGAATCTGTTAAGCAGCAATAAATAGCCTGTCTGGTTTTATAGCATGCACATAGAGCGGTATTCCTGCTGTAGGTATTTCTAATACACACGGCGATGACCTTCTGGAAAATTTCTATTTAACTTCATGTTAAGTGTTAGTTTTCCATGCTGGTCAGTGTACGAATAACATGCATCTTTTCAATTATTGCTTCAACGCTCACAACACCGAAAGGCATCGCGTTAACTATGGTATATTTTTTACTTCTAAAGTTGATCTTTTTTGTACAGCAGTAAATGCAAAGCTAGCAAATGTCTCAAAGATGCATGCATTAATTGCTTAAGCTCTTCACATTTAATGATATGCTTTTAAATCGAATGTGATTTGCCGTTGGGGAAAGAATTTTTTTTTTTTGAGGTACAAGGATGTACTCCAAAGTAAACACCTGAGAAAATATTCTATTCCATCTCTCATGCATAAGATTCTCTCAAGTCAGATATTGTGACGTCTTAAAAAATTATTATAATTAAAATAATCACAGTTGGACTATAGTTAAAATGCAGGATTGCTACTTATTCTGTAGTTTTAAGGTCAAAATATCAGTAAATAATGATCTTTATTGCCAGAAGGATTGAGAATAATTGCTTTTGACATTTTCTAATCATTTCATTCTTAATCTAAAAGTATCTGATTGCTTGTAGATCATTAAAAATATGAACATGAGTATCTACATATCTTGGTTATAGCTTAAAACCACCATAATGCCAAGCTATAATGCTAAATATGAACATGATATGTTGGTAAAGCAGCCATTTCCATCAGGTATATCAAAATTACACAGCAGCTGTGTCTTTATTGCCTAATTCACTGTACCCTTATGGATGCAGAGCTAGTTTAATACTGATAAAGTCTAAGGGAGCAATAATTAAAAAGGTAAATAAGGACCAAACAGAGAAATGACACCTGGCATCTTGAACTTGTAAAAACAGGAATTGCTCTGCTGTCTGCTCCTCTGTTCAATGATGTTCTACTGTATTTACAGGTAAACAGCGTTCACTAATGGCGCTTTCCGGGTGTTCAGTGAAGTGGGATTATATGTATGTCATAGCACCTTTGGCATTCGTGTCCAAAAAGAGTTTGATGTAGGATGTGGGCACGTATCCTTCCTCGTCCTCGTTTCTGCGGACACGGGTCCATCCGTCACCCTTATCCTCCTCGATTACGTACAGCATCTCACCCTCGGCCATGGATATGGTACCTTCGTTCTGACCTACAGACACAAAAACACACAATGTGGGTTTGATTCCAAAACAAGCATGCAAACTTATAAAAAAAAAAAAAGATTTATATATATTTTTTTATTCTAACTTTTATTGTTATATCAGTCTTGTCTAATTACCAATTTGACTCTTTGTTTTTTAATTTTGAGTGCATTTATTAATTTAGCAGATATTTCCAGGTAAATGAAGTAAATAATAATAGTGTAAAAATTTTTTTTTTTTTACTAATTTTTACTTTTTATTGTATAGTGTATTGATTTTATTTATTTTTAGTTAAGTAAATTGTTCAAATTTGTACTTTTAATTGTGAAGTTTATTTAATTTTATATATTAATCGATTTTAGTTTTCCATTTTTCAGTTTTTATCAGGATTTAGTATATTTTTGCCATTTATCCATTATAAAATCATTATATAAATTTAGCACCAATCAAAAAGTTAAGATACACTTGACAAAATATATTTCTCAAATTGAACTGAAAAACCCATTTTGGTTGACAGTATAGTTTCAACTTCTTATCGCAAGAACTGCAAATAGGCTCCGTAACTATTTTATAATCATGAATTCCTGACATAATTTTTAACACATTTTCCTTCTGCAAGATGATCCAGTTAGTGTTTTTCTGTTACCTTCAAATGGATAAAGTGCTTTGCATGTTCCAATGGTGGGTAAAGGCTCCTCCTCGTCAAATTCGTCATCGAACTCAGTGCTGCGAGATTTGAACTGCATGGTCGTCTCTGTGCTGGGGTCTTCCGTGTAGCTGCCATCCGGACTATGTGCAGAAGACATGCAATACGTAAAACAGACCAAATTAACTTTGACGTTCTAGTCAGCTTATACACTTAATGTTAAACCGTCTCATATGAGGTTGTCAAAATAAGATCAAGTATTAATGGCATGAAACGCCATGAATAGCATTAAACATCACGTTTGCTTTTTTTTTGCCTTAAGTCCACTTGTAATGTTAGTTGAGTTTTTTTTTGCTAATGTCAAAAAGTTCAGAGATGCATCCATAGCCATTCTGAACTGGGGAAGTTTTGATTTATGGAAGTTAGGTTTTCGTAGTTAACATAAATGATGTTTTCATTACATAAGCTTTAAAGAAATGTAACAATGTAATCTCATTCAGTGCATCATGTTGGGTAGCCCTGCTGTCTAGGGACTGAAGTACCTCTCTCGGTTTTGACCGTAGTTGTTTGTAAGTGGCGTGTTGCCCTGCGAGTCAAAATGACTGCTCTGTCTTCTCTGAGACTCGGATCCCTTTTCAAGTAGCTTCCTCTCCACCTCCGTCAGCCAGCCCTGAAAAGACACAAACAACAGATCTTTCAGTTTATTTGTAATCGTTAATCCCTCAACTGACTGAATAGCACAATTTAAGTCTCTTGGATCTCAAAATCCATATTTTAAACCAACTTTTGAAGGTATCTGAGGGTTGAACTTGTGAGGGCCTCACCTCAAATTTATGTGCCTCAAGCTGCAGTTTTTCCAAGCTTTGTGTGATTTCCTCTAACCGTGGATCTATACTGTCTGGATCCCCCAAGTGAGGATTCTTAATGTAAACATCTTTCATTTTAGTCAGGGCGTCCCTGCAAATAATTTCAAGAAGAAGAGTTAGTAAAAAACAAGAAGCGTGTGCATATGACAATTTGTTGCATCATGTCTGGTCATGTATATTACATTATGTACACTATCATTCTAAAGTTTGGGGTTGGTATTTTTTTTTTTTTTTTATTCTTTTAAGCCAAAGATTCATTTATTTGATCAGAAATACAGTAAAAACAGTAATATTGTGAAATATTATTACATTTTAAAATAACTGTTTTTATGTTCTTATATTTTAAAATGCATTTTATTCCTGTGATGCGAAGCTGAATTTTCAGCATCATTACTCCAGTCTTCAGTGTCCCATGATCCTTCAGAAAACATGCTAATATGATTTGGTGCACAGAAGCATTTCTTATTATTATTAGAGCCCGACCGATATGTTTTTTTTTTTTTGGGACCGATAAGATACCGATATTAGGGAGTAAAAAAAAGGGGCCGATATCGATAGTGTGACATAATATACCTCTGTAAATAAATATAAATTCACGTCTCACGCACTTTAATGCCCTTTGAATGTACCGTGTACGTTCCCTTGGAACTGGAATCATGGCGGAATATCATGTGAAGTCCACTTCGCAGGGCACTTACGGTCGAATAAGACAACGCTTGAATGCTGCTGCCTGAACAAGAGACCTCCTTACTGAAGTGAAAGTGTTGACTGGTGTCACTATCTCGTGAACGCGCTGGCGGATCTCCACCAAATTCGGGGGATCCCTTCAGCTCGAGGAGCCTTCTCGAATGCCACCCTCCGCGTGTCGGTAGCCCTCCGCGATCGCTAGATCGTCGCCGCTGGACCACGAATTTAACCACCCGTAACTCCCGAACCCCGGGGGCAATCGACGCGGGGGTGGTCTCATTCGAAAGAGGGCCACGAGACATACACTCAATTCACGTTCGAGGGGGTTCCTCGAGCTGAAGGGATCCTCCAAATTTGGTGCGGATTTGCCGCGCCTTTACGGAGATATGGCCGTTCAAAGTTTCAATGGTTTTCCATAGCTTCAGCTTTAAAGCGTTTCATCTAGGTCACCAGAAGCAAACAATGGAGCACGCCATTTCTAAACACCATTTCATGCATTTTATCTGCGTTATATGTTCTGTAAAAAAAAATTTCATATCGGCGGCATATTCGCCGATACCGATATATCGGTGACAGGCTCATATCGGCTAAACAATATATCGGTCAAGCTCTAATTATTATTATTATTATCAATGTTAAAACAGTTGTGCTGCTTAATATTTTTTTGAAACCATGATACTATGTTCCATCATGATTTTTTGAATTGAAAGTTTGGTCACACTTTATTTTAAGGTCCAGTTCTCACTATTAACTAACTATTAACTACAAATTTAGCCTCAATAAACTCCTAATTACTGCTTATTAATAGTTAGTAAGGTAGCTGTTAAGTTTAGGTATTGGGTAGGATTAAGGATGTAGAATATGGTCATGCAGAATATGTGCTTAATAAGTACTAATAAACAGCCAATATGCTAGTAATATGCACGCTAATAAGCAACTGGTGTTACCGTTTGAAAGTGTTACCGAAAGTTCAAAGGAACAGCTTGTATTTGAAATGGCAATCTTAAAAATCTTGTAAAATTATGAATGTCTTTACTATCACTTTTCGTCAATTTAAGGCATCCTTGCTAAATAAAGGTATTGATTTCTTAAAAAAAAAAAAATTACTGCCCCCAAACTTTTGAGCTGTAGTATTTCTTATAAACAATTTGGTACATGATGATGAGGAATTTGGCAGAAAGAAAGGCTGATACTATAACCAGCATGGCAGCTATTGCACGATTTACCTCTGATCCATCTCCTTGTGGATGTCCTTGTTGATGTCATTGAGCTTAGCTTGTAGTTTCTTCCTCCTCTGCTCAGGGGGCAGATGACTGTAGTCCTCCTGGCCTGTTCCCTGCAGACAGACAGAAAGTTATGAGTGAAAAAGAACTAACCAAACACAAACCGATTCAAACGCTGCATTAAAAACATTACATAAACAAGATATAACCTAGTCTCAGCCTTAAAAAACACATCCACTGACTGCCCAGCACATATTGCATTCAAAAAATGGTAAATTGGCAGGCTTCATGCCTAAAGTTTGACTGTCATACCTAATTTACTTATTTTTATAACTTATTTTTCTTCAAGCATTGAAACTGGGAAAATAGTCCAACTTAAATAAAAGTCAAAATCTTAAATATTTATTATGAAAAAAAAATTAAGCCAAAGTTTTGTGGATTTTATAGCAAGTCAGACTTACCAGCTTTAGAGAAAGCTGTGAACGTTAAGACAAGAAAAAAAGTGTTAGGGGAAACAGTTAATACACACACTTACGTAGCTGTTAAGACAGATATGTTTAGGATGGTGTTGACAAAAAGCATGAGAATGAGACATGTTACACATCCACACATCAGTTTATAACCAAACTAAGCTGATGGTGCTTTAGTCTTTGGAGTCGTCCAATCGGATCCACACGAAAGACACAGAGGTGATGTGGCGGCTCGTGAACTTACCCCACGTTTCAGGCTCCGCAGGCAGTGCATTTTGTGTTTGGTGCCCATGAAGTCATTGAGGCGCTGGCTGAGGGGCTCCTTGGGCTGCTGTGGGGACTGGGGGCCGTTGGGGAGGCCGTCCGGGGACGGGGATGTGGGGGGAGGGGGAGGGGGCTGGCGGGGCGACGCTAACAAAGACATAAGCTACAGATGAAGGTGTGATGAAGCACATTGAGAAATGGAATGGAGGAAGACAGGAAGAGAAAATATGAGGAAAGAAACGTTCAAGGGCAAAACAAAAGTTCAGAAATTCTCACACTACGACAAACTCGCTGCAAACTTTATTAAAGGGGATGCATGTCAGAAACATGTTCTCTAATCCAATCTTAATATTTCCAAGTTTAAAAACTAGTGCCATCAAAAAGAAAATCACTAACGTATAAAATAATCTTCATCATCAGAATAACAAGATTCTATTATAACAAGCTGCATTAAACAAGTTACAAGAAACTGACATTGTAAACACTACTTAATAGCAATAACACTACTTGAATATAAATAACATGATTTATATTTGGCTATTAAATCTACATGACTGCATCGCAGTGAGTTATAAATGAGCAACATAGTTTTCTGTTCTTTTATGTGCTTATTTGTGACTTTAGAAGGTGTTTACAATCCACAGATCCGTCCTATATGTGCAATGTTTTTTCCCGTTAAAATACTTTTCCCTATCTCATCTTAATATTTCCTAGTTCAAATAGCATGGCACTATTAAAATGCATGAACAGATAACGGGTCTTGTTAATCATCAGAACTACAAGATTCCATTATAACAAGCTGCATGAAACTAGTTGCATAAAATAGCCACAACACATATTCTACTACTTGAATATAAATAGCATGAATTGTTTATTCAGCTTTTCTCGGACATAAAATCATACATGACTGCATCTCAATTGACCATTAATGAGCAGCATAGTTTTCTGCTCTTTGATTTGCTTATTTGTGGCTTCAGTAGGTGTTGTCTGATGCCGAACCTTATTTCTCTTGAGTAAAGGCCACAGTTTGCTCCTGCTCCTGCGTCTGTTCTCTCCGCGAGCGTTCAGGAAGCTCGATTCTGACACCGCCCTCTTCATCGACACGCTGTAGTCCTCGAACTCCACATCACCCGGCGGCTCAAAGCCCGACTTATATGATTCTACAACTTGCTTACTGTCCTGAGATTAAAAACAGTAATAAAAAAAATGTCAGGCTTTGTGCCATAACAAAAAAGAGAGAGGTTAGGATGAAACCTAGCCCTACTTTTTGAAGTCAATGTTAGTTACACTTAGTTACACTATCTCTTTTCTAAGTCTATTCTAATTAGTTGTAGTAGTAGATACTCATAGTATTGCTGTAAATAATTGTGTGTATGTACACACACACACATATATATATATATATATATATAATTAATAATATTACTATATCCTAATTATTTATAAAAACTTAAAATATTTATAAATAAAATTATCATTATCTATCTAGTTATTCAACTACTTAAAAAGTGGAAATATTAGTGTGGAAATGCAGACCCCACCTTCAAACTGACGTCATAATCGCAGCAATTATGTACTACAGACTACGAGAAGCACATCCACCATAGCAAATCCCCTCCATATAATCTCTCTACTGCTGTTCAGGTCAGACCAAGAGACTATTTTTAGCATTTATATGTGGCATCCATAACCCTACTACGTAAACGAATAACTTTCTACAGGAGGATGTTTTAATGGAGGTCTGATTCATATAGCCAGCACACAATCTCTGAAAGGACACACACACACACACACAACTGGAACAGGATTTAGCAGATGAGACAAACAAGAAGCACATCAGCCCCGTTAACTGCCAGCGAGCAGCTGTAAATTATTGATGGTAACCTGGCGACACATAGCAAATCCCCTCCATATAATCTCTCTACTGCTGTTCAGGTCAGACCAAGAGACTATTTTTAGCATTTATATGTGGCATCCATAACCCTACTACGTAAACGAATAACTTTCTACAGGAGGATGTTTTAATGGAGGTCTGATTCATATAGCCAGCACACAATCTCTGAAAGGACACACACACACACACACAACTGGAACAGGATTTAGCAGATGAGACAAACAAGAAGCACATCAGCCCCGTTAACTGCCAGCGATCCCCCCCGCAGCTGTAAATTATTGATGGTAACCTGGCGACGACGCTCCGTGACGATCACTACTCGTTAGCTTGTAAGTGGGCCAGCGATAATCAGAGAAATCCAGTCAGCATTTTGACCTGCTATATTATTCATCTGCTTCATTTGGAAAAGTAAATTCACCCCGCAGCCAGAAAACTCTGCTTTTACAGATCATAGTCCTATCAGTGACACAGTGCATCAATCTCATTATATTGAATCTTTATTATATTTCCTCTTCCTTTTTTAATGTTTCACTTGTATTTTTGCTCTTATTGTTTTTTTTGTTTTTTTTTAACGTTGAGCTGAATTTTTAAGTGTACTACCATTCAAACGTTTTTTTTATTTGAAAGAAATTATTACTTTTATTCAGCAAGACTGCATAAAACGATCATAAGTGACCGTAAAGACATTTATAATGTTACAAACGATTTCAGTTTCAAATAAATGCAGTTCTTTTCGAACTTTCTATCCATCAAAGAATCCTGCAAAAGTTTATCATGGATTCCACAAAAATATTAAGCAGCACAACTGTTTAATCAGCGTATTAGAATAATTTCAGAAGGATCATGTGACACTGAAGACTGGAGTAATGTCGCTGAAAATTCTGCTTTGCATCACAGGAATAAATTAGATTTTAATATATATCTAAATAGATAACAGTTATTTTAAATTGTAGTAATATTTCACAGTATTACTGTATTTTTGATCAAGTGCCTTGGTGAGCATAAAATATATAAATTTACTGACCCCACATTTTGAATGGAAGGGAATAAAAAGGTCCAAATAAAATGGTTTATTACACATTCTTAGAAACTGTTGATTTTTATGGATAGGAATTAGTGGCACAGATTCTACACTTCAGATTTAAATAGTAATCTGAGTCTAAAGGGCTTTTCACACTGATATATTTTCTGTATGTGTTTTGTATGCAGCTCATGGTAATTTTATAACAATAAAGGATGTTTATGACAATAAGCAGTGTGGCGTTATTAAACATAGCCTAAAAAGAGTGCATGTCTCTTTGATTATAGAATCAAAATCAACCATAGATCACAATCGGAAGTTATTACAAGCACTTGATGATGGTTTATAGTGGGTTTTAAAGGGGTCCTATTATGCTCTTTTACAAAGTCTTGATTTAGTTTTGGGGGTGTACTAGAACATGCTCTCATGCTTGGTGGTTCGAAAAACGTATTATTTTTCACATAATTTACATGATTAAAATACATAAAAACATACACACTACACACTGACTAAAATGAAAAAAGTGAAAAAGCATAATAGGACCCCTTTAAGCAAAAACAATAATCACATACATTTTCAAATGTGGCTTGATGATGCTTGGTGGTTCGAAAAACGTATTATTTTTCACATAATTTACATGATTAAAATACATAAAAACATACACACTACACACTGACTAAAATGAAAAAAGTGAAAAAGCATAATAGGACCCCTTTAAGCAAAAACAATAATCACATACATTTTCAAATGTGGCTTGATGATAATTGTACTTATATTTATATTTTAAGATGTTTTCTTGTAAGCATTATAGATAGTTTGTGTTTCTGGCATAGAACCAAACTTTATTTAGCTATATTTAATGCTGTATATTGAGCAGTGAACGATGTTAAATCCATATATGAGATACATATCTGAGTAAAAAAATGCATTGCTGGTCGGCACCACCTAGCGTGCAGGCATGAATTAGCAGAAGGCGATCAATCGTTTCGTGCTCGCAACGTTCGTCGGCGATTCGCCTCACTTTTTCGCATCGCGCTCAGTGTGAAACGGCCTTAAGACTGATCTGCAAACCTTTTTGACTGATTCATTAAAAGAACTGACTCAAAAGAGTCATTAGTTCATGAATCAGTCAATCACTGTGTGATTTATTATTTTTTTTAATAAAAAAACTATTCTAAACAAGAACCTCGATTCTCAACCACTGATAAAAAAAAGAAGTATTTTATGGCTTAGTAAAAGATTTTCACTGAATAGGATTTTCCAGCAGTAGGCTGATCAACAGATGGCTATGTAATCCGGAAACATGATGCATTTTCAGCACAAAGCAGTCGCAGCACTTAACGTACCATTTTAGGCTCGATGGATTCAGCTGCCTTGGTCATGCCATCCAGACACTTGCTGACGATGGGCAATACTTTATGCTCGACCTCGGTGTACACCCGCATGCTCTCCCTCACCCTGCCCACCCGCCTCTCCTCCATCTCCTGTATCCTCTGCAAGACAGAAAACACCACGTTATGAACACTCAATATGCCATTCATGGTCCATCTGGCATAAAAATGAACATATTTGTGATTTATCAATATTACAGTATTTTAATTTGATGGAGAGAGATTCTCACCTGAAAGATATGTGGTATAAGTGTGTATAGGATTTTCCAGCAGTAGGCTGATCAACAGATGGCTATGTAATCCGGAAACATGATGCATTTTCAGCACAAAGCAGTCGCAGCACTTAACGTACCATTTTAGGCTCGATGGATTCAGCTGCCTTGGTCATGCCATCCAGACACTTGCTGACGATGGGCAATACTTTATGTTCGACCTCGGTGTACACCCGCATGCTCTCCCTCACCCTGCCCACCCGCCTCTCCTCCATCTCCTGTATCCTCTGCAAGACACATTTTGACCACATTATGAACACTCAGTATGGTCCATTTGGCATAAAAAGGAACATATTTGTCATTTATCAATATTAGAATATTTTACTTTGACCGAGAGAGACTCTCACCTGAAAGATATGTGGTATAAGCGTGTAGTAGTGCTCATGTTGGTCCTTGTTGAACTTCTGCAGGTAGGTCAGGTACTCGTTTTTACTGTCCTCTGCTATCTGATGCCTCATCTGAGCTTGCTGTTTCGCCTAAATAGACAGAAAACACAAGAGACAGGGAGCAAAAAAGACATTAAGATCCTTTCTACAAGAATGACATCAGAACGTAAAGTGCAGGAACTGACAAATAAAACGATCACCTTTATGACATGACAAGTCAACAAACACTGAAAGTCAATTAGCAGATTACAGAAAGATATAAGCGTAGTCTGGTGTCAACTTCAGATCAATAGTCAGTGATCTACACACTTAACCAAACGCTCTGTGCAAGAGTGAGAGAGGACAAACAACGCAAACATCACAAATCAAACACAGAAATATAATCAAATGATGTACTCAGGGAAAATAACACCGCTAAAGATCTATGTTTATCAGTAATTCATTCAGCAGATTTTGTGGGTCATAGTATCTTTTATAGAGTTTAACTGATATATGAATGAGTTTTTTAGTAGACAATTCCACTGAGATATGAGTATGAGATGTCAATAATTTACTTGACATAATATTCACGGAGCGTCCGCTCAAAAATAAATGAAAACAGAAAATGTGCATTATCCAAAAACAAGGCTGTTAGTTCATTTACCGCTGAACTGACACATAGTGGCATTAGTACATTTATTCAATTAAGCAGAAACTGTCGAATACTTTCATATATAAAAAGGCATTTACACTGTGATAAAAAATTAAAATAGAATTAAATAATTATAGTGAATAATCTTATTTCAGTCTCAATCGTATTTCTGACAGAAAGTGTTCAGAAAGCAGAATGAATAACACTAAATTTGGTAAATTAATGCATGTTATTATTAGTAGCAATTACATATTTTTCATATTAAAATGACATATTTTGCATATTATACAATATGCATTATACAAATTAAAAAATGTTTTAAACAACAGTTTGTTACGTAATTACCACATGACATGACCTCATCAAGTTGCATGTTTCATTCAACTAGTGGTGTTGAAATAGTTATTTAAAAAAATAAACCGTTTCAAAAATAAAATGTCTTGGGGGGCCGTTTACACGACAACATTTTCAGCCAAAAACTGGAAACTTTTTATGTGTTTTGCCTGTTCGTTTACACGACAATGGCGTTTTGGGGACTGAAAACGCATATTTTTGAAAGTCGTTTTCGTGTAAACCATAGACTGTAAAAAAAATTTGGACGACGCGTCTCCACTTCCTTCCACTATTGAAAAGTGAAGCCAAAGCATCTCAGTATGGCCGCTGCCATCTTGAGTAAATGACGTCATTTGGAGCCAGAGTCTGCGCAGTAGAGATTCGTTTGGAGCCAGAGTCT